AAAACTCTCACCAATGTCCCTTTTTACTATGATAAGAAACGTTAAACCTATGCTTGAAAAATTGTTAGCAGAATTGCATGACTATCTGTTTTAATAAAACGACAGGTTTGGAGAAGGGTCCATTAGGAGGCAAAAGTCCGTTTTCATACTCCGATCCCTTGACAATAAAAGAGATGAGTATGTCTATTTGTGAGTTTTGCGTCACTGTATGAGAATTTTGTCTGGTTACTAGATGTATGATACAAGTAGACTCCTGGCGTCCAAGCTATGTGCCATTCATAGGCAGACGATCCCTTTAAACGTTGCTAGATACTCGAAAAGCCAAGAGTAAATACAATAAATACGGGTTGTTAATTTGTCTCCATCAGAGGGAAGTACAAAATTATTGATACCATATTTGTTTCCGAAGCAGACGCCCAAAGCCGGATGTAAAAACACAACCTATATGTGCATAACATGTTCCCAAACCTTAAAGTTTGTGTCTTGCGTAGGTCCTACCTTCTAAACATTCCTGGAGTATATACCTGTCAATTACCTTGCATTTTTCCAAGACTAAATAACCCCGAAATTATTTTTAGTATCACATCGCTGGCTAGTTGCTCTGATGTACTAAGCCCATTTAAAAAAATGTTTTTCCTATATTTATAAACAGCTGTATCAGATGCATGTGTTCGAGGAAAATGTTAACGAAGTTCAAATTCTCAACATTTGGAGAAATTGCAAGAGCAGATACATTATGTAGGTACAATTTTCGAAAGAATAAAAGTTGTTTCTTATCTCTTCTGGTAATTCAACTTTCTGGGCTTAAAACAGATGAACAGCTTGCCGGCGATGTGTCAGTTCGTGTGTCTTGACCTTATTGAAATAAATACTGCCACAAGAAGAAGAAATTTGAAAGAGTTGACAAAGGATATAACTAAGGTTTCGCGAACATTCTCAAACTCTTTTTTTTTTAATTAGCTTTTTATTTATCTGTGAAAAATTAATCCCATGTTAACATATTTTTGCGACGAAAGTACTGAAGAGTATGTCTGTATGGGTAATGGAAACAGACATATATTAGCTGAGTTATTTTTTTCTCAACCTTGTTTTTAGAAACATTTGACTCGCGCGTGTCTGTGAGATGGGTCTAACGTCTACTCATAGGCTTAATTCATAGTATACTAGACCGTGCACTTTCAAGCTGCCGTGCTTTGCTCGATATTAAAAACTTCAGTAAGAATTGTGCCCCAAAGTAGCCCAAACGAAAAACAAAAAATCCCTCTCACTATGGTCGATTGCTTGCGGCACCTTTTCTCCCTTGCTTTTCACCTGTCCAAATTGAGTCAAATGACGCTCTCCCTAGTGAACCGGAACTACGCCATGGTGCACAGTTGTAACATATCTACAAGTCTAAGGTCCTTGGATTGTCTAAATTAACTTCCTTGACTCTAATCTTTTAGCTGCTACTTCTTTTTTTTCGTTGTTGTTGTTGTTGTTCTACAGTTAACATTGTTCAGGCTTCAGTACAACATTGCCCCCATCTCCTAGAATATCTAAATTGGGTCTATGAGGGTGTAAAATGTATTTACATTAAATAAAAAGATGGAAACAACATTGCCTACCAGCTTCCACTAAACATGAAGGCATATTTCAGAGCTGGAGACAACGGTTTCCCCTATTGCTGCTTGTAGCTGCACTTCTTATCAGTACAGAGATTACAGATCCATCAGGCCAAGTCCAGTGGTATCTACCAGCGCTGGTAGCCCAGAAGCAGAAGTAACGGAAAGATCTTTGGTGAGAACAGCGGACAAGACAAAAAAAGATTCCATCAATTCTGGAGACGTTGACAGAAGATAAGATCCTGCCCATGTTCGTCACCCTTTTCTTGCCGCTGTTGTGGGAGATGGCAGGTTGGGAAGTCACCGGCTAAAGGTCCACGAGATGAAGATGTCAATAAAAGGTTAGACAAGGCGATTGGTTTCTTCCTCTTGTTTAGAAATGTTTATCTCCAGATTGCCAGGAGGAATGCTTTTTTTCGTTACTTTGATCGATTTGTTTGCTCATTGGGCTTGTTCTTCACTTCGTCAAACTAGAGAACTTGCAATAAATGGACTTAACCTTCTAGTCAAAGGACGTGGTTGCAAATGGTTGATTTAGACGTGCTCTAGTGCTATATATCTCAATAGAGATCTAAAGATATGTACCTTAGAACTGCACTGTATTCTTGTGTGTACTTAGACGTGGGCACTTTCATTGATGAATAGAATAGGAATTGTGATTCTGTAATAGGTAGGGTCGATAAAACTTTATAAAGATGGTCTAATTGTAATTTTATTATTATCTGTTGATCAAAACATCCCATACTTTTTGCTTTCAAAGTGTTTCAGCGAGGTTGCTTCGAACCTGTTATCCCTGTATTTGTTTTGTATTGCAGCCTATAGTCGGAATATATTTTCTCTGCAACAAGAGACTTTGGACTGATATTGAAATCTTATTGAGTTCTGGCATGAGCTTTGATCATAAATTGATGTCTCAAACGGCAATGCGTTTTTTGTTTAGCAATTTCCAGGAAATCTAACGAACTCAACGGATCCGTCATTCAAACGAAAGCAATAATGGTTTATTTAGTTTACATTCCATTAATGTTCTAACCGATTTTGTCGATGTTGTTTTCTTTCTAGACCTCAACTCTGCATGTACTAAGGTCATTTTTACCCTGTAAACACCAAATTGTTCCCTACTTCCTCCATTGTACCCTGCATGACCCTAAAGCATGGATTTTTTATGCATACAACTGATGCATGTTTTCTGCATGATTCCCATTCTCCTTTCCTCCTGAAACCGCATGTTTAGAATGCATGATTCCTTCTGCATGTGCATGGGTGTTCTGTGTTTCAATATTGCATGCAGCAATTCCATCGCCTGCGCATGGAAGCGGTTTTGTGCGCTCCAAAACACCTTTATTTCTACTTCCCCAATATATGTCAATGCATCCTGTATACTGCACGTGTTGGCGTATCCGCAATTTGCGAACTCTCATTTTTCACCTTTGCTTTTGGTAAGCATCAGCACCTACATGTTTCAATGTTTAGGTAGACGAATTTTGCACATTCATTTTGTATGTCAATGATACATTGTGATTTCTTGAAGCACTCTGCTGCCTTAAGATCGCAACAATGCCAGAGTTTGCTGTCTCGTAAGTTTCAGTTTCACAAGCTTAATCAAAGCGTATCAAGAAATCTAAAAAGCCTCATGTTCTCTATCGGGTTGTTTTTTTTTTTACATTATTCATTTTTTATATGCAGAAGCTGGAATCTGTGTACTCTGTTTGATGAATTATATCAAGCTGAGCGGGGTTTGGGGTAGGAGTGTTGGGGAGGGGGCGGAGAAAATAGTTACTGGAGAACGAAGTACTGTGAACTAGCACCTCTTTGTATATTATACTTATCTTGTATACCTTGGTTCGTGGCGTGTATGACTATCCCATCTCCATACCCAACCCTTCCCCTCTCATGTTCTACCTTATCACTTTGTCCACTTTCTTGTTCTTTTAATCAGTCCTTCTCTCTTCTTTACTTCTTTCCCTGTATGTGGGTGGTTGGTGGGTGCTAAGGTGTAATTTGCTTCTTCTTACCTATTTTAACAAGTATATTTTGTTCTTATCTCTCCTCCATCTTTTCTTTGTATATTACTCTCTAGTAATAACACTTCTAATTCTCGACACTTTAATGACCAGGGACCTATTTGAGTTGCAAGTGCCGTAAAACACTTACTAAAATTAAATCTGTCTCTTTATCATCACTATGACAACTTATCATCTTCCAACAGTGCCAATGTTTTGTTTTGTTTTCTCTGGGCCACATTCTTTTTAAGCTCCTTCCCCCGACCGTCCTCCCTTTCCTCCAAACACCCCTCCCCGCCTCCTTTTCCTCCCCCAACCCTACCTACCACAATCCTTGTTTCCTTTTTTTCTAATGCTTGGGTCCCCGTCCTCAAGTCCATCAAAAATATTGTCAACCGATCGAATTTGTGAATCATCCTTTATCCTTGAAGCAATGCAAGTTTGTCCGTGCAACAACCTTCATTTTGTGAATACCCACGGCCGTTGTCTGTGCGTCGTGACGTCTCCCCCATCCTTAAAATGGGTGTAGTGACAATATCTGTACCTATAACAGAAATAAATCAAGAGCTGAAAGATCATTGACGCATGAATAGTCTGTTATGCGAACTCGTCAGAGTGGTACGCTTATGTCAGGAAACTTGGCAAGATAATGAGGACAGAATCAGGGTATGAAGCGGTTATGTTAAGTTTATATTGCGAATGAAAATACATGTGCAATAAAGTTACTTGTTTGTAAATACTCTAAGAGAAAATCCAAAGGGGTTTTTTTCTTTCATGTAATTATATCGGGTAGAATGATGCTTTCTGTAAAAGTGGGTCAAGGAAGAGAGATGTTGGAGAAGAAAAGAGTCAAAGCAACTTCAATTTTCTGCATTTTTCGGTGTTTTTTGTCGAAATCGGCTCAAACAGCCAGAGTTGCAGCGACCATTGTAGTCAAAAGATTGGCAGGAGCAGAAGCAGTGATAACAATGGCAACAGCAGCATTATCACCACTGTCACCAATATCAGATGACCTTACACATTCCTCTTTACCATCAACACCAATGTCGATCATCCTAATAATCCTTTCCTCTTTCTCCTTCTCCTCCTTCTCCTCCTTATCATCATCAGTGTCAACACCTTCATCTTTGTCGTCGTCGTTGTCGTCACTATCATCGTCCTCTTTTTAAAAAAGAACGTTATTATAATAATAATAATCAAAAAGTGGAGAATGAATGGAGAGTCTTGAAAAATGATTGCCAGTCAGTTTTATCTAAATTTTACTGATAACAGTAATCTTGGTACTAGAACGACTCAACGTTTCGTCTTGAAAACAGCATCATATCATCTACCCAAACTTCATAAGCACCAGCAACATTACTATGACTCATCCTGTGTCCACTGTGTCTAACCACAGACCGCCGCCTATCCCGCAAGAGGAGTCACGTGAGCCTTGACCGCCTGCGTCGTTCAATGTCCCTGGAGACTTGCAAAGTGGAGAATTCGGGTGGGCGGAGCTTCGACATGTTACCTGACAGACAGGTGGGTGGAGCCAAGTTCTAGTTCTGATTTTAAAAAATGAGACACTATATTTTCCATGTACTGTATTTTATGTTTTATTTCTCTGTACGTATACACATTTTCCTGTCTGCCTGTGAGGTTGGAGGGCTACACTACTATTTTTCTTTCGCTTTGCTGTTTCGATCGATATGAGAGAGAGAGAGAGAGAGAGAGAGAGAGAGAGAGAGAGAGAGAGAGAGAGAGAGAAAGAGAGAGAGAGAGAAACTACAATTCGTTGGTTGGGAGCTCTTTAATATCACACTCTCCTTTTCTTTTTCGTTTTATCTTTGACAGACAAACAGTCTAAAAGGGCGGAGCTACAATATGCCTGAAACGATCCCGGAAGAGGAGATAGAACGCATCAGACGCGAGTCCCTGGTCCCCAGGGTCGGGCTTCTGGTGGCGGGAAGCGGGCGCAGGGAGTCGTCGGCCAAGCCGGTATCGTCTTCGTCGGAGTCCAGCGTGAAATTCACGCCTCCTCGCGACCTGCCTCCTTGTGAGGGGGGCGATCCTTCCTCGTCAGCCTCGAGTGGGGGGAAGAGTTGTTACGATCCCCTTAGCCCGGTTACCTCGACCTCCGCCAACGCCATGACGCAAGCCGGTAAATGCATCACCGTGGCAACGGTTGTCAACGGCAACTCAAGCTCTGTCGTCTGCGCTGACGACATTATGCCGGACGAGGAAGCGAGCGGGGGTCGGAGAGACGAGGGTTTGGGAGAGTCGTTCGACAGGAACTCCGAGATGAGTGACTCGAACAGTCGGACCGGGATCTTAGCTGGTGGGAGCCTGATCGAACTGCAAACACTCCGCTCAGCCAGTCCTAGCTCGCCGCTCAAGTCGGGCCAGAAACCCACCACAATCACAACCAGTGTCTTAACGTCAACCCCGCCCAAACACTCGCACCAGCACCAGCACGCACACCACACACGACGAGGAGGCAATAACAACAGCACTAGTAATAGCAGCGGCAGTGGCGGCCATCCTCCTCCTCATCATCATCATCATCATCATCGCAGCGAAAGTCCCGTGGCTGACGATGAAGACGAAGACAACGACAGCGTTGGTATGTCTTTCACGGCACGCTCGCTCTCAGACGATGATAATGTAGGTGGGGTGGACCCTCTTTCCTTCCTCTCGGAGGCACAGGCGAAGAGAGTGACTTTCATGTGACAACCACCAACTCAGAACATTCTCGGATGTACCAGCGACTTTCTGTTTTCTGACATGGGAGTGCTCAAATTACTCAAAGGCAAGACTGACTTCATCCATGTTTTGATAATTTACAGCTGACCCCTAGCCTCCCCCCCCCCCTCGCCCCGAAACCTAGCATTGACAACACACTCTATGGAACATCACAGTAACTCAAGAAAACCTGCTCTAATTACTTCATGATATTGGACAAAAGGACGAGAGCCCAGCTGTTGCTGGATCAATTACAACAACAGCACCAGTAGCAGCAACAACAACTACAACTACAACAACAACAACAACAACAACAACAACAACAACAACAATAAGAGTCTGGGTGGTTTCTTTGTCTCGTGGATACTCAGCAATCTCTTTGTCTACTCGATAATGCCGACTCTTGCGTTCTTTGAGATGATTTTGTTTGGGTTTTTTAAACTGTTTTGTGCTTGACCGACACAATTTAGATGACCGGCTGCTTCGACCTTGTTTGACAGCGTCATCATCATCGTCGCAGTGAGTCCTGTGGCCGACGATAAAGACGTACTTACCGACAGCGTCTGTATGTCTTTCTCGGAACGATACTTCCTTTCTCTCGGAGACAGTCTACAATAGTGACTTTATCGTAACTATCGAGAGGAGGAAACCAGCAACTCACAAAATACATTCTCGAACTTAGAACGAGCTCTCATCGATCGAAAGGCCCAAATTCTCATAATCAGATCGGAACCCTTCGGTCCGGTAACGGTGCTGGTACACTATACAAACAGGCCTCTGCTTTGTTTCTTCAAATCTTGAACTGAAAGTCTATTATTAGGGCCCACTTATCGCATTTCATGAGAAATCAAAAGGTGTGACCCCTGCATTGTCATGAGACACGCAATATTCGTAGCCTTCTGGTTGTCCGCTGATCCCCAAATTTCTATTAATTGGATCCCATCGCGACGAGAAAATCAAACATGTTTGATGCTGGAAGATTTGATGAATTTGTGCCTAAATGGTTGCTTTTGCCCCTCCATGATGGATAGTCGTTCCGCCCTGAAATATAACAAACCATAACAAAAAGGGATTTGAAGAAACTGTACAGTGGGCTCTGGGCCTCAGCACAAACACCACGTCAGCGAAATGGACAGGCCTTCCAGTTACGGCAGACACTTGTTCTACTAGTGATAAAATTGCCCAGAGAAAGTTTGCGAACATTCTTTTGATAATTGGGCGGATGAAGATTTGTCATTATTATCATTACTATCACCAGAGTGATTGTTACAAGTAGTTGCATTGTTTAGAGTATGCCTATTATTATTATTATTATTATTATTACTCTTACTATCTTTGCAATTATTGTTATTTTTATTTTCATTATCACTATTATTATTATTGTTTTTATTATTATTATTATTATTATTATTATTATTATTATTATTATTATTGTTATTATTATTATTATTATTATTATTATTATTATTATCATTTTATTATTATTATTATTGTTAATATTATTATATTAATATGAAATGTTGTTATTATTTTCCTCTACATCATTTCCTATCACACATACACTGGACCTGGAACTTATTTTCATTGAGTAAATTAGAACTTGTAGAAGTGAAGCAAACTGACGTTGAGCATATTGAAGTCTCAAAATAGTAATATTTTTGTGTCATATAACATATTGATACCGACTACGCGGCTGTGAATGCTGGACAATTGCTGACAATAGACAATAGAACTTTAGGCACAGAAATGAGAGTTCTTAAGAGACTGTTTGGAGAGAACGTTATGGGAAGAAAAGAAATCAAATAAAGCAACGATGAAAGAAGTCCGGGAAGGATTGCCACTGATGAAAACAATTTGGAATGGACATCTTACCCAACTGGCATCTTGCTGTCACTGGTAAAAATAGTAGATCTAGATAAACGAGGCTGAGGTTGATTAAGAAAAAGAACATAAATAGGTACAGGGAAAACGAACAGTATACTTTAATATGTTTAAGAGCATCCGAGCGCAGAAATGAATTGTCAACCATGATCTCCGAAGTCTGTTTTAGATCTACCGCTTGAACAAAAACAAAACTGATGCTTATTGGTTTATCACGAGCCTTGTGCGCTTTGACGAAGGTGACATAAATCTAGAGTGCATGTGTAAAGGTTTCCCTCAGCAGAATTATACGTGTCGATCCAAAAATAGATTCACTTAGTGGAAATAAAGACTAGATCTATCTAACACAAAAGGTAATATGCAATGAAAACTATTCAAGGCAGGTTACTTGGGGTTGTGGGTCACAGAATGGAGATCTAATGTAAATCTGAAAATGTCCCCTGGATGTAATTTAGTAGTTAGGGAAAAAGTACAAGCCAACAACTGAGGAACAACCATAAAGGGATCAGAAAAATAATTTGCTAACCCTGTTTTTGATTGACTTCATGAAAGAGGCAGATATCTCGGAGTTGGAATAATTTAGTGAAATTATGTGCAAGTTAGCTATCTGGAGAAAAAAAACATCAACAAGTAGCTTTTAGCTGAATTTGATTCGCATTGGTCTCGTGTAGCTACTACATATTCGCAGTGGGGAAAAAAATGTTATTGTTCTCACGTTTATCATAATCAAAACGGAAGGGGTTACCAAACTCAGAATTTCTCGGATCAACGCTGTCTTGCCAAGCGTTCTTCTTGCCAAGTGGAACCTGTTCACGTTCTGCGCCTCCCTTTACCCTTAGGTCCTACTTTCTTTTATACATCCATTGTGGGTGGGTGTGTGGGTGGGTGGGTGGGTGTGTGTGTGTGTGTGTGTGTGTGTTAGTGTATGTCTGCCTGTCTGTATGTAATTATGTATGTCTGTCTGCCTGACTATCTAATTTTCCCTCTTCACTAAGTGGTCGTTATTAGCTCAGTGTGTTTCTCTTTGTTGGAAAAACATAATTAGCAAGATTTGCAGCCAATATTCCTCTCCAAGTATGTTTGATCACCGCTTTGGTTGAAACAGCGAAATAAAGCAGGCAGTCTGAATAAATGACGCTACCCTGTAAGTTCATACCAGTCCTAACGCGTAGGCCTACGTAAAAACATAAAAACAAATTAAGAATTCAGCTGGGAAATGGTATAGACCTAGTAAAGTTCCCAGTTGTCCGTTTTTTATCGTTGTCTTTAGGCGGATGGCATGTGCTCTAGTGTGGTTTACTCATTCTTTCACATCAAACATTCATCATACTGATCTCTCCTCTTCTTTGTATGTTACTCTCTAGTAACAGCTCTTATCCTCGGCACTTACATTATCCACAAAACTTAATTGGAATGCAAATGCCGTAAAACAGTACTGAGACTTTTTTTTTTAACTATGTTAATGTGTCTTGTTCTATTGTTTGACTTGTTCCATTTTGTCTGTCAAATACCGGTACTATTTTTAATTAATCCTAAATAGCTGCAGTCACATAACACACTTGCAGTCACGTACACACGATCTGTTGACATCCACCCCTTGGCGCCCATATGACCTTATGCAGTTGCGAGAGTCGTAAAACCTTACTAAAACAAACGAACACCTTAATGCACCCACAAGCAATGTTCTTGTAGTCCCATAAGTCTGCACTGTACGAACCAAACCACTTAGCACCTGACTGCAGTGCTATTCACCTAATCTTTGATCGTGTGTGTGTGAGTGTGTGTGTGTGTGTGTGTGTGTGTGTGTGTGTGTGTGCGTGTGTATGTGTACATATGTGTGTGTATGTGAGTGTGTATTTGTGAAAGAGAGAGAGGGGAGACAGAGAGAAGGGGGTAAAGGAGGGAGAGAAAGAGAGAGGGAGAGAGAGAAAGTGGGGGAGAGAGAGAGGGAGGGATAGAGAGAGAGAGAGTGAGAGAGAGGGAGAAATGTATGAAGGAAGGAGAAAGAGAGAGAAAAAGAGAAACGGAAAAGAGAATGAAAAGTGAGGAGGAGGAGCGGGGAGGAGGGTGAGAGCGAAAGAGAGAGGGAGAGAGGGGGAGGGGGGAGAAAGAGGAAAGAGTGAAATTAGAGAGAGAGAGAGAGAGAGAGAGAGAGAGAGAGAGAGAGAGAGAGAGAGAGGGAGAGAGAGAGAGAGCGAGAGAGAGCTAAAGTACGTTTTCTAACTTTGTTTTGGGTGTGATTTCCCCGTCATTTAACATGACGATTCGATATTCAGGTTTTTTTTCTCTACATCTTAAGCTTCAACCTTGGGCTTTTATTAGAGATCTTTAAATCACATCTTGGGTGCAACACAGCCGTTAGCTCCTTCATTGTCGTAGGCAACCCGAGTTCGATTCTGAAGTTGGGAGATATTTTAAAATCAAGTTTTTATCAAGTATCTCGGTCTTTCTGCTGGGATGCTGTACCCCTCTCAGCCGGGTTGGCTCTGATAAGGCAAGGGTGAATCCTACGTTCTAAAATTAAACCCGTACACATATTTTCTTTTTAAAACTGTTATTGGTGCTTTGTGTTTCTCTTCTCTTTAACTTTAAACTCACTGAGGGTGGGTGGTTGGCGTATGTGATCTGATGTGGTTTGCTACTTCTTTCGTATCCTGTCCTTTTCTCTCCTCCTTTTCACTGTGTAACACTTCTAGTCGTCGGTACTTATAAGACATCTTATGTGTGCTGCAAGTTTTAAAATCTTAACTAAAACTAAACAAGAGATATAAGTGGCATTTAATTTATTATGTTTATACCACCCCCACCCACACCCTCTGCTTCGTGCTGCTTGACCAAGTGCGCAACATCCTTGGTCACCGTGTGGTCACCGTGGCGTCACAATGGGTTGGAGCTATCACCTTCTGGAACAGGAAACAGCAGGCTGTTTTTAAAGACAAATGTGAGGCATCGAGGTAAAATCAGGCGCTCGTCAAAATAATGAAGTCGAAGAAACCGGTACTTCTTTTTGCCTGTTTGGCAATTTTTGTCGATTTTCTGGGGGGGGGGGGGGGGGGGGGCTAAACACTTGGCATGTCCATATAAAAACACGTGGATTTTACTGAAAAACTTTCTTTAAAAGCACAAAAGATTTATATTTGCAGTTTCCAAAGACTCTTAAACTTTGGAAGTCAACAAACTTTGGCGGCCATTTTCTTGCTTATTTTAACTCTAACACCAGAAGACCTCCACCTCCTTTGAGCCCAAACATTTCGATTTCTATTCAAGATAGAATGGTACAATATTTCCACACAAAAGCAAGACAAATGAACAAGCTTTAAGATGATACCATTAATTTCATGTGTCCAAAAACTGAAGAAAGCCTGATTCCACCGCATCCTGACACAAATATTATAAAATTATTATATTATTATTATATATACCGGTAATATATATGGTATGGGAAGGGGGTATACTTTAATTTAACTTTAATCTATGGAATGAGACTCTCGCTGACACAGCTCCTTGTCTTGGGTCCATAAAAGAATACATTTACTATACTACTTATCAACGAGGCAATGCAAGTTGAATTAGTATTGTGAAAGCCAGTTGAATTAGTATTGTGAGTTCACACTTGTCGTGACGAATTTGACTGCTTGCAACCCCAGAATAACTCGTAATTATTAGTGTTTGGAGAGACTAGATCCTCGCCGTGTACTCCCCCTACATCATACGTAAAAGTTATGACTTCTATTGTTCTGAGATACACCTACTTTAATTTCTGTTGTTGTTTTGTTTTGTTTTTTTTTGGGGGGTGAGAGTGTTGTTTGTTGTTGTTGTTGTTGTTGTTGTTGTTGTTGCTGTTGTTGTTGTTGTTGTTGTTGTTGTTGTTGTTGTTGTTGTTGTTTTGTTGCTGTTGCTTTTTTGTGGCGGGGGTGATATAATAAGTGAAAACTCTTCAAAAGCCTAATACCTCGGGTGATATACATGTAATAAGTGATAACTCTTCAAGTCAAATACCTTAAGAATGAGTGTAACTGGGATAGACCCTTGTTGTTATGGGAGTGTGTGCTGTTTCTTCTACGAGTTATTGTGTTCTTCAGTTAAATCACAGTCATTGTTTTCTCCTCATTTACCAAAACCGGGTGCAATCTCAAGCCAGCTAGGCTTCGACAAAGCGTGCCATAAGCCTGAAAAGCCTATCCGTTTCCCAATGTCCCCTACCACCTTAACACTTTTTTTCCATAACGAATGTTTCAGACACTCCTCATATTATCGCCAGTACCATCTATCATTCTTCAAAAATTTAAATATAAACAATGAGACGTCTCATCGATTTTGTAAGTGAGTTAAATAACACCTCCAATCTTCTGCACTTAGGTGAAATAACTTACTGCAAATACCGTAAAACTTTTTCTAATACAAAGACACAAAGTTCAAGAACGGCACCAGTAAATTGCACCTTTCATTTTCCAACTTACGGCACCGTTTCCACTGTT